TTGAAAAATGGTGGTGCTAAAGTACTTGAAATTGGGTAAATATATTTGTCATTATGTGCATATATATAACAGATTATATATATGTATATCATATAATGTATATTATTTTGTATATACTAAATTAATTTCTAAAATTTAAAAAGATGTGGTTCTGGTAATTGGATAATTGATATGGCATTAGAATATCCATCTTCAACGTTTATAGGAATTGATATAAATTCTTCTTATTTTCCTCTAAATGATAAATGTCCTCCAAATGTAAGTTTTCTAACGTATTTCCTATGGAGACTTTTGACTTTGTTTATTTGGGCTTTATGTATACTGCATTTACTGAGTCACAATGGTCTGAGTTGATCAAAGATATTGTCAGAGTTTTAAAATATGATGGTTGGATAGAATCTTTAGAAGCAACTGCTCAATTTATAAATTATGGAAAGGTTACAAAATGGATAGATGAAGCTGGTTAGTTAAACACTAAATAGTGCAAAGATATTAAATAAATAAATTAATTAATTAAGCATATTTTGTTTATTTTAGTTTATAAAGCTTGCATGAAAGAAAAAGGTGTTAATGTTCGAATTAGTGCTTTGATTCCAAAAATGTTTGAGTCAAATGAGGAACTTGCAAATATACAATGCGTTAAAATAAAATATCCAGTAGGCGAATGGTTTGGATGTTTTGGTAAATACGCAAGTATAATTTCATTAATTTATTCTATTTCATATAACACTTATATTAATCTGTTTTGCCTCTTTTTTTAATTCATAGTCGATAAGCAATCTTCGTAGACTATTCTCAAGTTTTGTCTTTATTCCAAAATATTTCGGTATAACATATGAAGAATATATTGGTTTGTTGGACACCTTTGTTAAGGAAGCAAATGAAAATAAAACTTATACTTATCTTCAGAGATATTTTGCTAAAAAAACTTTGATTGGTTAACTTTAGAATTACTGTATTTTGTTATGGTTTTTGCATTTGAATTATTATATATACTATAAATTTTAGAATCATGTATATATGTTGTAAGTGGGAATTAAGTGGATTTGGAATATCTTAATAAAATTACAATTTTAGGGTAGAATTTATTTTATATAAACCTACACCCTAACTCTAAAAACCTAAGAAATTCAAAATCCATTTAAATTCCGTTCCACTTACAACAAATATATTGTAATTTCAGACGTAGTTGTATTAAATTAAGCGATCACTTATAGATTATGAATGGTCTAAAATTTTATTTATTCGATATAAATGTTTTTTATCTTATGCAAAAATACTCTGTATAAAAAAAATATTAGCAATACTCTAAATTCAACGAATGAAATTCATACAATTGTATATTTAATAATGTTATTTTGCAGATTACGTTGTTGTAACCAATGACATTTAAGTTATTTTTACTACAAGCACAACGTAGAGACAAATAATTTCCTTTACAATTACAAACTGCTTGACTTATACAGTAAATATACCATTTTGTTTCGTACCAGCTGTACGTAAATTAAGTTGATTGGATAGTGTTTTAGGATAGTTAGATGGTTCTAATGGTTCTAATAGTCCTAAATTACATGTACAAAACATGCACAAAAACAAGTATTTAATATAACATTAGCACAATCAAACTTATAATATCCTTTGTGAAGAACTTCCAATACTTTACAAGGCAAAATTTTTCGATCAATATTAAATAGATCAATCTTTATTCAATTTGGAAAATTGTTTAATCCATTTGTATAAATTTGAATTTTTTAATTATTAGGGTTATCTAAAATTTTATTGCATTTTTCTGCACGCTCGCGACTAATTATTATATTATTTTTATATTTAGGGCTTTTGATTAAATAAATTCAGAAAGTATATTGTTAAATGTTTCTCTTAATATAAAATTATATTCGTGAAAAGAACTAATATTAGAATATTCCATTGTTTTATAAATCAATAAATCAATTACAAAAATTATTCATTATACAGTATATAGTACGTAATTTAATTATTATTACATTGAATAATAATAATATTAACGTTATAAATAATATTTAACTTACCTAAAACCAACATAATTCGTAACATATATCCGTAAATGAGTGTCTACGAATGTATTTCGACATAAAATTTAGAAACATACGCAAGTGGGAGTTTATATTTTCTTATGACACTATTAAATATTGTTCATTTCTTTAGAATAAAATTTTTTACCTGAGGCATGACGAAACACTATGTGAGTAATGATAACTTTTTTATAAGAATGGTACACTAAAAAATATTACCAAATGTTCCTAAATTTTTCGCTAATTCTGACTTTAATTCCGACTCAAACACTATCCCTTGCTTTTTTAGAATGTGGAGTCTATAATACGCAAAATTTTATTCGTATTATAACATTAGGGTGATTCAAACCTAATGCTCATAGTTTCCGATTTCGAATTAAATTAGTGACGTAATTATTTTGAAATCAG